AACCAATTTTATTTGGAATAATGATAATGTAACATCGCACAAGCATTGCGCTTTATGAAAGATACTGAACCCTTTTCTAGGAAGTTGTAGATACTTAAATATTTTTCTCCAAACGTTTCTTGTAAGCCATCAGTAGTCAATCTAGCCTACTGGTCACTTTTTTTACTTAAGGTCCAGTTTAAAACATTGGTTATCCTCGAGAGCATATTTGTGTACGTGAACAGTGAAATATGGACACTTCCGCAGTAGACTCTTCTGCTCTGAGGTGCGCCATGCACTCGTTCGTGGTTGATAGTTGGAGAAGCCCTCGACATTTATACCCCTCACTTTCTATCGCGAAAGCAAACGTTTCAATTCTGATCATTCGATGGTCTAAGTCTGTAGGTAACAGCTGCGAGCATCATGGCATCGTAGAAACATTTCGCCATTTTCCTTGAGGCTTCAGTGGTGCTCTCTCCATCGCATCTATGTGATAGATAGGGGTTTCGTGATTTATAGCTTCCGTGACAAGCCACTCAAGCACTTTTTATTGTCTTTACCCAAGATTGATGAAGTGAAGCGAGAACACTCCCTGAAATTCCCGAAGGGTTCCTTCAAGTAGGGTGCCAGACGTTTCAAGTATGAAGACATAGATGTATTTCTTAGGACTGAGCTTCTATCGTGCTTTATCTGCGAGCTGCCAACAATACAAAGTAGTATATATACATATGTATACAAAGTCGTAATACAACAATACAAAGTACAAAGTGCCCGGAAAGCGAGAGGTGCGGGTTCTAGTCCCGCCTGGGGCGAAAGTTTTGTTCACAACCCAGCATTCTTGTGAAACATTCGCAAGGCGAACTGCGGCCAAAAACAGCAGTTAACAAAAAAAACAGCATATAATGAATGTACAAGAAAAAAAAGCAAGCTAAGAAAGTTTGGACAGAGTCATCACTGCACACAGAACGAGTGGGGTTCGAAGCGTAGAATCCTGGAAACGAGCTCATCCACATGCAAGTTTAGACTGTTCAATGATTTGAGGTGTTCCAACAGAGCCGAAGTGTTTGTGACAGTCGCCTGAATATAGATGAAGTTTAATCAAACAAGAAACAAATTCAAAAACACAGCCAAACCGGCCCCACCTTAACAAACTTGTAAACGAGCAGGATCAGACTAATACTGTACGCGCTTCATCGTTCTATCCACGATTTCCCGTTCCAGTCTGCGCAGATCCTCTCTTACCACTTCTAGCCTGCTCCGTGCAGCAATTTCCATATCTGGCACGTGGCAAACAGCAGGATGATGTTCTCTTTCATGAAAGGTGTTCTAGTGTTGTACCAGCCAAGTGTTCACGTTAGCAATCGCCTACCATATCAGGGCAGTACTCGTTCTGCAGAATATCGCAATCTTCAGAAAGGCGGTCTATGCAAATGTAGTTTTCAATCGTAAACTTCTATCCTCTTCCTCATTTATGCTCGGGCAGAAGTCCGCATAATGATCCCTTAGAGTCTTTCAGAAAATACAAAAATGATCTGGTGACGGACAAGGCGGTCGAAAAGTCCTGCGGGAAAACGTTTCAGCGCCTCGTGCAGTTCATACTCCTTCTTTTCCAGCTCGTTACGATGTTCATAGAGAATATCCATTTCGCTTTAAGCAGTAAGACACTTGACTGTTCTTCTTCCTCTAACAGTCCACGAGTATTTTTCTGTATCACGTTACGCTATAAAATGCCTTCATGCTACAAAATTCGCACGCCACAGTGAACTTCGTTCCTTCAGGTATTTGTGCCAGGGAAAAGTGAACCTAGTTTTGTCCTTCGCTTCTATAACATGCAGGGAACCGTTTGGAAAAAGCGCTCCACGCGTCGAAAAACCTTCCTTTTGAGCAACTGGCCATGAGAGAATTTGCAAAGTATTTCATTGTGGACAGTGCTGTTTCAAAATGGTTTCCTGCATCTCAGAGGAAAGGTGTACCGGACAGTGGTGAGGCCCCTGAACAAGAACCAAAGAAGAGGACCAATGATTAAGGACTAAATTATGAGGTAATTCCACAATGTAAAAGTAGAGGTA